GGAAATATTGTTAGATAATTTTTAAAGAGATTTAAGCAAAGAAAAAATCGATTGTTTGAAGCTCCCCTTAATAAAGATTTCGTATCAAAATTTATTGATCTTATAAACAATGAATTGGCAATTTGGCACACGAAAAGTTATAAATATAATAATAAAATTGAGAAAAATAAAAAATGGAATAACTTATTAACGAAATACAAACAAATAGATAAAAGTGCTACATTAGTAATAAATTCCGCTTGCCAGTCGCACATGTTCACTGTGTGAAGAACGAACGCAAAATGGATTTGTATGTCGTGTATGGGCGAAACGAATTCTTACAGATCGAATGCACATGAGTGTCGTGTATGTCCACTTTTAGATTCTGCTATTTTTTTAGCGATTGTTCAGTAAGAATTTCATGAAATTTCATTGATTGGAAGTGAAGTTATTGCATTTTAAGTGTCAGTATGCTTGTGTGATCGGTGAAAAAAGCTTCGAACAAAGAGCCAACATTAAATTTTGTTTTAGAATTCGTAAAACTTTTACCGAAACGTTTCAATTCATGAAATAAGTTTATGGCGATGATTTTCTATCCCGTGCACGAGTGCACGATTGGTTTCAACGTTTTCAATCAATCTGTTTTTTTTTTAAGTTATGTTTACTTTGGAACACACCGTGTACTTTCATCAATGTCTCTTCCTGTATTTATTTTGCAATCCATATTGATGTCTCTGCTGATATTTTTTCTATACTTTAACCAGTAAATTTTTTGTGATGTTAGAGAAACTTTTAGCTCAAATATCATGGGCTGTTCGTGTAACTTTATTAGCACAAGAGAATGATCAGATGATAAGTATGTACATGTATCAGCTGTCATCTATATTGTTGACTACAGTAAAATCTATTAAGTCTGGTATTTTTTCTGTCGCTGGGCCAGTATGTCGGCTTACCAAGAGTTAGTATATTCAGCTTATTATGCTTATTCATAATAGTGTAGTACAGCTGTCGGCCTTTGGGAATAATAAGACGTGAGCCCCAGTACGTGTGTTTTGCGGTATAATCTCCACCTGCTAAAAATCTTTGATCTAGTGTTCCAAAAAAAGTATTTAAATTCAATTTGTGTAATTTTAAAACGAGGTGGACAGTATATAGCCGTAAGGTTTAAATCACAACCCCAATTTTTTAGTGATATTGTTGTAGCTTGTAATGTTCTAGAGCATAGTGGTTTAAACGATTTCTAATCAACACTGCCGTGCCATCATGCGCTTTTTCATCCGGATGATTTCTAATATATAGTCTAAATCCCAGTATATTGAAATTATTTTGATTTGTTAGATGAGTTTCTGATACAAGCATTACATCTATATGTCTTCTGTAGCATAAATCTAATAATTTCTACTTTATGTTGGTTATCACCGTTAGCATTCTATATACAGATACTTAGTACGCTCATTTTTTACTTAGTAAATTCTGCAGCCTTTGATTTTGTGATTTTATTAAATCTTGAATCATGTTTAACATAGTAGACATAAATTGTGTCATACACTGTGTAAGATTTAGAATCATAGTTTCAATACCGCCATTTGGAGGATTTTGCAGCAACCTTTCACCACATTTACATAGCTTCCTTGCATATTATTATCGTTAGAAGTAATAGGATTTGAACTTTTATCTGAGGTTGCTATATTTTCATTACAGGGTGTTTGAATCATTTGGTTACGACGTGCTTGAATGCTATAGATCATTTTCATGTTTCATGTTTCATTTTTAAATGGTTTTATTTAGCTCACGCCGTTTGTTTTAGTTATTATTTATTCTTGGGTCAAATTTAGTAATTCAAATTTCACCCTCTTCCTGTCAACCGATTAATCTTAAATTTTGTATACACTTTGGATTTTGGTGACAATACAATTATGTTTATTCATTATCATTATAAATTCAAGATGGCCGCCGCTACAAAATGGCGGATAACGTAGGTTTTATCAATCCCATCAATATGGGTATCAAATGAAAGGGCTCAACAAGCAGAATACAATATACTATAAAAAATTTAAATCAAAAATGGCGGCCGCTACAAACTGGCGGATAACGTAGGTTTTATCAATCCTATCAACATGGGTATCAAATGAAAGGTCTCAAGAAGTAGAATACAATTTACTATGCAAAATTTAAATCTAAGATGGCTAATGCTCAGCCGTTGGTGGGGATAGAGGGGAGGGTGAGGGCTTTCCTGGAAGCCCCAGGTGTGAACTAACTCGCAAATCGTTTGGCCTCAATTTCGTCGAACTCAGATGTATGCAACAGATGTACCTCCCGTTCGAATTGATTTCGCAAGAGACAGAGTACATGTTATACACCCGAAAGCCATACAGTTTCCATCTAAGTACAATTACGGAACGGCTGAAAGAAGAATGTTGCCTTTAATACTATCATGGGCTTCTACAATACATAAAATGCAGGGCAGCGCTGCATTTTATCTTATCTTCACTCATTATACCGTTCCCACGACAGTCGGGTCTACGAAAACCGGAACGGACCCGGATTTTTATCCGGTCAAGGACTGTCAACTCGGCAGAATTTCTGCCGTTACAACAACAACAACAACAACGCAGTCGTATACTTAGGTGCGAAACTGTTTGAAGAAGGTCAAGCCTACGTGGGCTTAGTAGAGTAAGATCTTTGTAGGGACTACGTATAGAGAAGTTGGACTGCAATAAACTAACGGGCAAGAAACCTTGCAATAATGAAGCACTAAATGAATTAAAAAGAATGTAAACAGAAAACTTTTTAAGTTAAACGGTTTTATGTTAAACATACATTGCAATGTTTAAGATAAATGTACTAAAAACCAAAAAATGCATGAGAACAACGTTATGACCGAAAACAACACAGGCGGAATGGGATAGATACTAAATTTATGGAGAGAACACTTCTCCGGCCTGCTGAATGGCAGCGAAAGTATAACGCCAGGAGAAGGCGAACCCGATTCCCCAATTGATGACGATGGAGCAGACGTTCCATTGCCCGACCATGAAGAAGTTCGAATAGCAATTACGTGCCTGAAGAACAGCAAAGCGGCGGGGGCCGATAGACTGCCGGCAGAGCTATTCAAACACGGCGGCAAAAAACTGATTAGGATAAATGCATCAGCTTCTTTGTATAATATGGTCGGACGAAAGCATGCCCAACGATTGGAATTTAAGTGTGCAATGCCCAATCCTCAAAAAAGGAGACCCCACAATCTGCACCAACTACCGTGGGAAAAGCCTCGTCAACATCGCATATAAGGTTCTATCGAGCTTATTGTGTGAAAGATTACAGCCCACCGTCAACAAACTGATTGGACCTTATCATTGTGGCTTTAGACCTGGCAAATCAACAACCGACCAGATATTCACTATGCGCCAAATCTTGGAAAAGACCCGTGAAAGGAGAATCAACACACACCACCTCTTCGTCAATTTCTATCCTGCTTTCGACAGCACGAAAAGGAGCTGCCTTTATGCGGTGATGTCTGAATTTGGTATCCCTGCAAAACTAATACGGCTGTGTAAACTGACGTTGAGCAACACCAAAAGCTCCATCAGAATCGGGAAGGACCTCTCCAAGCCGTTCGATACCATATCGTGCGACTTCTTCAACGTGCTTCAGGAGAAAATAATTCGAGCTTCAGAACTTAATCGAGCATGTACAATAAGAGTGTACAGTTACTGGCGTACGCCGATGATATTGTTATAACCCGCGCCTTTAGTTCTGCTTTCTCCAGACTGGATTTGGAAGCAAAGCAAATGGGTCTGGTGGTGAACGAGCTCAAGATGAAATATCTCCTGTCATCAAACAAACAGTCGTCGCGATTTGGCTCTCCGTCACTGTTGACAGTCATAACTTTGCAGCCGTGGATAATTTCATCTCTACTGGAACCAGTATCAACACTAACGCAGAATAACTTTCGCTGACAGGTGCTTCTTCGGACTGACTAGGCAATTGAGAAGCAAAGTCCTCCCTCAACGACCAAAGGCAAAACTCTTCACTCATTATTCACGTCTTGCTATATGGTGATGACATCTGATGAGTCGAATTTACGACTTCTCGAGAAAAAAGTTCTGGGAAAGAATATCGCCTTCGATAGAACGATGAGCTGTATGAGATATACGGCGACATTGACATATGGTAGTTCAGCGAATTTAAAGGCAACGTCCGAATGGACGAAAACACTCCAGGTTTGAAAGAATGCGACGCAGTACCCGAGGGGGGAAGCAGAGGAAGAGGAATAACTCCACTCCTTTTGTTGGGATCAGTTGAAGATGGACCTGGCTTCGCTTAGAATCTCAAATTGGCGGCACCTTTTGAAAAGAAGTAACGACTGGCGCGCTGTTATTAATTCGGCTATAATCGCGTAAGCGGTTTCTACGCCAGTAAAGAAGAATAATAACGGTTGGTTCAATAATTTTTTTTTTATCGACTCAGTCCTATTACTTTCCGGACAAACCCTGTATATAACAGCACTGACTTAGAAAGAAAAAATTTTGTTTCACACTTACAAGTTAAAACAAAAGCATTATTGTAGAGTTGTAGTTAAAAATCTCGATTTTCTACACCTACTGTCTCAAGTAAGTTAGATCATTGTGTAAAGAATGTTCCCAGCAAACACTGTCTCTAACGTTAGAGAAAAAGCTACATTTTACTTTAGAATTCTAATGTAGTTTTCTAATGTTTCTCGATTCGAATTCTCTAAGCTTTAACACTGGAATTTGATTATAGAATGATTAGAGAAACACTCGAAATACACTATCGATATAAATGATAGTTATCGAATACAATAAGTGTCTGCTGATTCGTATTCGCTCATTCGTAGTGTCAAATAGAAATAATACGTGCAAAAAGAAAGTGCTTTAAATTATTTTAGAAATATCGTTATTATTATTACAAAATTACGGGTAAATATAATTTTTAAATGTATAAAAAAAAAGTTAAAGAGATAAAAAAGTTCTAACCTTCAGGTGTGGCCAATTCTAAGTAATGTAAACGGGTGGAACGATGTCAAGGTTATTGGAGTGTATTTTGGGAATAGCAAATCAGCAAGCGCAAACGAATTTCTTACAAAATTTGTAGATGAACTACTTATTTTAATGGAAAATGGAATATTTTTTAACGAAAAACATTACTCTGTAAATTGTCGAGCTTTTATATGTGTCACACCTGCGCGTGCGTTTATCCTTGGTATCAAAGGGCATTGTGGATATTCGTGTTGTCCTAAATGCATACAGAAAGGCCAGTCTAAAAATCACAAAATAATTTTTGTTAAAGAAAATAGTCTTCCTCGAACTGTTGATGATTAATTCGAACATATAAACGTACATAAATTATTCGGACAGAAAATGGATTTTAACCACATCATAGAAAAAGCATCAGAAAATACTCCTGTAACTAAAAAAGGTAAAAAATTAAATTTTAATTAAATAGTAAAAGGGAAACATCTTAAGTATTTTGTTATTTTTCAAATATTGATTTGCTTGAGAAAAGGATATTGGACCGTATAAAACAGTCGGAAAATAAAATACTGAAAGGTAAGAAAATGGCTATGCGACTTTTGTAGCTGCGAATATTGGCGTTTTACCATTCCGTCTTATGTGACAATTTATGAAATGTCAAAAATATATTTTTTAATGTTATTGGATTCATTTTTGTATTACAGAAATAGACCACACTCAAAAATTCTTAAAGAGGGCCCTGACACGAATTTTGCAAGAAACAAAGCAGACTACAAAGACAAGCCACAAATCACGAAGTTAGCTGCTCCTGAAAGTTCCATTTGATAACTTGGAACAATTTCAAAATTTCGAAAAGGATATACAGGAGCATTCCAGCAAATTTAATGAATTGGTAATATTTTTATTAAGACTATCTAAATTGTTATACTTCAACTCAATGCTTATCTTTCCAGAAGGAGGAATTTTTCACAGTATCTGGCCACACAGCTGAAAAGTTCGTAAAAAATTCTTGGCGCCAAATTTTTACCGATGGTGTTGCGCAGAATTTGTGTTGGAAGGGTACGAAGGATAAAATGGCTGTGAGACCCTTAAGTGTAACAGCTGCCTTAAAAAGTATAGTTCTTCACATTTTCGAAATTTTACAAAACTAATTATTTTGTTTCAAGTACATTTTCGTCTAAATTCCCTCATGCGACAGATATAGATTTTGAGCGCACGTCTATAGTCTTCTTCCAGCATGCTAAAGAAGAAAAAGGCATACGACTCCAAAAAAACAAAAACGTGAAAAATAAATTATTTTTTTAATAAACGAAATCCAATAATAGCTCCAAAGCAATGAAATCAACATTAGAATGCAATTAGAATTCAACCTTAGAATACGATTACTAATATTTTTCTCGATATCGATATCGATAGTTCTCGACAGTTTTTCTTATAGTTTTCTAACGTTCTACCTTAGAGAAATATATTAGAGTTCGACTCGTTCCCTAATCATTCTCTGACTTAAATGTTTGCTGGATTAGCAATATTAGAAGTTGAAATGCCAAGCAATCAATAAACAAATTCTTTATTGATGTGGAACCGATTAACAACAATGCAGAAAGGTACGATTTGAAATAAGTATTGAACTTTGGTATCGAAAATATAATGGTGGATCCTTTCCCTTCGTTTAATATCACCGAACGTATACAATTTGAAATGACAAGGACCTTTTCGAAAAATTTAAGGTATTAAATAAATAGTTTGAATTTCTAAATAATTTCTCAGCTCAGGTTGACATCTCTGTTCATATTAAAAATATCAAAATGGGCCTTCGAATTGATGTATGGAATGCAAATGGGCTTTCCAACCACACAGAAGAAGTAAAACTTCTCCCAAATCTATTTTTATCCTCGGTATCAGAAATACATTTAACCAAAAGGGCACATTTTAAAATTCAAGTATATGATGTTACAGTTACAAATCATACAGACGCTGAGGGTGGTGAACTAAATCCCCTTGATGGGAACAAAGTTAGCAAATCCCAAATCAATTTGGAAACATTAGATAAATTGATTGACTAAGAAAAGTTTCGAACATAAAAAGATAAAGCAATATACTCCTAGGAATATACTTTTAAGGTAAATTTTTAGGGTAAATTTTTGAAGCGTTTTCCTCCTCTTCATCATTGGTGTTTTGCGGTGTCTATAGCATACAAATACGGTGTTCGTATATATTGAATAATATAATAATATTTCTTCAATCCAAAGTTAAAATCATTTAAAAATCACTCCTGATAACTAAAGGCAATAAGGAAATGAATAGTTTGTGGTAATATTCCTTCAACGAGAATAACTAATGATTCAGTAATAAAGATCATTTAAAATACATTAATTGTCAACAAAGCTTTGGCTTAGTTGGTGTTAGGAAGCACGAATGGATTTCCGTGATCACGAAGGCTTTTTTTTAATGCGCAGCACATTACTTTTTGTCCCAACATTTTTGACATCATTATATAAATCAAGAATAATGTAAATTTTTAATAATTTTTTTTCTTCCAGAAATTTTTATTCTACAATAGAACTTTTTTGACATATCATAGGTATATTATGGAGTGTATAAACATATTTTTTCGGAAGTTGTTAAATAAAAAAGTAATTAACGTTTTTTAATTTTTTCCCATGTTTTTTTACATAAATTTTGTCATAACATTGTCAATAAATTATAAAAAAAAATATGAATCTAGTAGGAACGATAGCTAGGCGTTTTGTGAATATTAAGCAAATCGGTTGAATAGTTCGACCGGATTCATGTCCGCCAGTTTAAAAAAGTGTGTGTTTGAGAAAAACGTGTTTAAAGTTTGATGTGTGCTCCCCGAGCGCTCCGAATGTCTAGCGGTATTATTATTTTTGGGCCTTTTGCGAAACCTTCCAATGGTAAAGTGCGTCTAACGGGAACAGAAAATGCAAAAAAATACAAACAATTTTTTTTAAGATTATCCTACTGACCCCTTAAGCTCTGGGTGTGTTCAACGCAATCCATCGTAGTACATTAAACAACAGTGTTTAAATGAGTTAAGCATCCACCCCTCTACCCGGAAAAACTGGCGCATCCTAATGCAACAGCGCAATTAACCACAGCTGATGTCACTACAATACAACTCACCACATCTGTACCCCTACACACTCAATAAAAAGGATGGACAGCAGGATGGAAAACGCAATTCGATCTACACAAGCCGCGCATCAACATTCACTTCTTCACTGCGCCGCGTCGACATTGTTCGACACACCTCGACACATATATTAGATCTTACGCAGCGCCACGTAAAATACTTCCTTCGTCCGCGGCCCGGTATGCAACGTATATTTACCGCGCTCCGTACATCTACCTACCTTCGTCGTCCGTGAATTAATATAAGCTTATATGAATTTTATATTAATGTTTTTTATAAGAACTTAATAAAAATTATATTAAATGGTTGTACATTTTAAAGTGAGCGTTTTTATTAAAGAGTTGTTGAAGTGGTTTGTACTTTTATTTGCAAGCAGCATTTTCTTCATGGTCCTTCGAGCCTTAACGAAAGGCACCTTTGGTTTACAAACAAACAGACATACATATTATAGCTAAATCAAAAATAATTTTGGCGGTAAAATCGAAAACGAAGTGCGATAATAAAAGTGAAAGGTATACATTAGGGTGCCCCTTATTTTTTGACTTTGAACTATGGGGCATCACACCCCATAAAAATATGTATTACGGAGTAAAACGATATTATGCAAAAAACTAGAGCTTTTGGAAAAGGGGAAGACATGCCGCAATGAAGGTAAAGTTTGCAAGATTCATAAAAATTGCAATATAAACCAATAATAATACAGTGATAATTTTATGTGCGATTTTATTTCTAAAATTTATAAGAAAATGTATTTGCATTTTGAAAAAGAATAGCGAGTTTAATAAATTCATTTTGTTCATACATTTTTTTATACATACATATATGCATTTACACATAGTACATTAATGCTCTTATTGCAAAAGTGTCGACTTTTTTGCATCAGGGTAAAGTTTCCTATGAGCAGCTACAGTTTGAACAATAAATTGCTTTTCTTCCTCATTTTTTGAAAGTACGTTATTAAAATCTTCCATAAGCTTTACTGCTCTTTCTGCCGAATCATTAACAACATTTATTTTATTAACTATGTTTAATCCGATATTGTAAGATGACTCATCTTCCCATTCCACAGGATTTTTTGCTAAAAAATCTGTTGGTATACCGAATCTTTTAAAGAAAGTTTTGATTTTTTGTGAAATGAAGTCTTCAATACTTTTGTCGGAATATAGGCTATAATCCTGTGAAGGTACAATCAACTTTTTTCCTCGGTATCGTTAACAAAGCGGTCACCATACGTTTTTTTATGTCACTGTTGATTTGTGGGTCAAAAAAGGCAAATCCTGCAGCTTCTGCAGTTAAATACCATAAATGGTTACAAAATTTGTGTAGCAGTTTCTGACTAGCCGTTTCATCTATGTATCTGTAAGCATACAATTTCTTAATCAAAGCTAAATCTTGCCTAGGGGCTTCTGCAGAAACGGGTGCTCTTGTCCAAGCTCTCAAATAAAATTTCTACTTTTTGCAACACACTTGACACAAACAATAAAAATGTGCTGAAACTAAAATTTTTACGCTATACAACGTCAAACTCGAACCGTATTAAATTATAATCTTACCATGGATGTTAGCAACATATTCGCCGCTTTTACGTTTTCCTACAGCTTTGCGATAGAGTTTCCTATTTTCATTTTCCAACAAGACCCGTACTGAACCAATCATTGAACCGGGTCTCCTTTCCTGCCTTTGGCTTAGAAGATATAATTTATCTTCTTTATCTTTATCGTTGGTATTCGTGCTTTAGCCTAAAAAAACCTCCACTTCTTTAATAACGAGGGAAGCAGCACCACGGAGACTTAATTTTACTTTACGAAGGTTATAAAAAAGAAAACGCAAAACTTGTCCGTTGGATGGCAACTTAGCACCGACAATTTGGCTTTCATCATAGTCAAGGAGATATAACTTTTCTTGTGCCCTGGTTTCCATTTTTAAYTTAATTTAATTTAATTGTCTTATTTAAATTACACGAGGTAGCACACTTTATACTTCTTGATAAACTAAATAATTATCACGTCYGTATATGCTCGACCGAATTCACAGAATAATAGTATAGTAACGTTAGTTGACMCTTTCGTGACRGTAATTCCATGGAACATTATATTCCGCTGTAAGTGTTTTCTACACTGCTAGTCATATCAGATGCATTCTATGGTTGTGGTTATGTCACCATAAGTTTATTCTTCAATGTCTCGGTTATAAATTTATTATAAATAATGCCATAATACTAATTTGTCAGTCAACATCGTAGTTATTCAAAATTTGTAAAACATGGTCACTTTACYCTCGTTGCGGCACGTCTTCCCATTATCCAATCGCCAAAATTTTTTGCAGAACATAATATTATACTCTAATGCAACTTTTGGGGGGTGTGATGCCCTGAATGTTATATTTTTTTTCTCCCGAATAGCTAAGGAGCACCCTAATGTACATACATACGTATACAACAAACAAAAAACAGAACAACCAAATAAAAGTGTGAAGTGACAAAAAAAAACAAATTATATGGAAAAACAAAAAAAAAACAACAACAATCGGGCGCCAAAAACTAAAGCACCAATAAAACAAACAAACGGGCGCGAACAATTAAAACAACTATTCATACAAACAACAACACGCACGAGAAGCCAGGCAGCTGGAAGAAGAGGAATAAAGGAATTGACATCAAAGGCCCGAATACCCGCAAACATACACGCACATACATATGTATAGTACCCCTCCAAAACCCCTTGATGGAGGATAAAGTGAGTCGTATCGTTTTGCTTTCCATTTATTTCATGATGCATTTATGTATGATACAGATTTCAGTTTTTTAGAACAAAAACTGTAATAATAATAAAAAAAAAAACGGTTTAAAAATTTAATATTCCGAACTGTTTTAAGTTACGCCCTTATTTTTCGATTTTGTCAGAAATATTATTAATAAATAAATATTCACTGCCTTCTATACTTAGCTTTGTGTATTCAAACACATATGTACTAAATATATTTAAAAAACACAAAAATCAAAAGAAATTCAATTATCTATTTATTTTCCGCCAATACCCCTTATGCACAATAAAGCAATAAGCAGGTAAGTCAAAACGAAAAAGCGAAGGCAAATCAAAATTATAGCAAGAAAAGAGAG